TTCAGCAAGAGGATGTCGTTTCCCTTCTTAGGACTCATGAAATCTGGGTGACAGTGATACTCTTGGACTTCAAATGTTTGCCAGCTTTCCTCTCTCTTCTGGATTGTGTGGGCTCCAAGGATGACAGTCAGAGGTTTGTGTCTGGTAAAATCAAGCACAACGTATGTCACTAGCTTTCTCCTGTCTTCCCTGGTAACATGGAGGCACATCTCCCAGGGGCACGGCCAGGAGAGACTGGCTGGGCTTTAAAGAAGAATGATGGAAGCATGGAGCTCTGCCAGTGAATCTACCCAGCCAAGCGGCAGAGCAAGTTCCCGCAAGGGTTACTTGACCTCTGGATCTCGAGCTGAGCAGATTTGGTCCAATGCTGCTGCTGTGTACTAAGATATGTGGACGGTTGGTCCAGGCTTTGTAGGCCCAAGGAGGGGTTTCTGAATCGGGACCCTGCTCTGGGCCAATGTACCTTTACTGGCCTCTACATCATCTGCAGAAGGGGCTGCCTTGGGAAAATTGGGAAGGACCCTGGCTACGGGTGGGAGTCCCTCTCAATCTGGCAGGTGGGACTGGGGCATCCAGGCTCCTGGCTTCTGCTGATCCTTGTTTCTGCTGCCCAGATGTGGGGCCTGGCCCTGAGCCTGGCTTAGCGGCACCGGGGCCGAGCTGTCAGCCCTGAGGAGCGTAGCAGCTACACCCAGAGTCATGCACATCTAGAAGAGCCCTCTTGCCTCTCCATGCCCCAGTTTCTGCAGCTGGAGGGATGGAAGAGAGCTGGGCAAGCACCTTGCTCGTAAGAGATTACAAATTCTGATAACAGCCTTGGAGGTCTTTGGAGGCAGAAAGGGCAAAGCCTGGCACCGGCAAAGCCTGACACCAGCAGTCCCTGCTCTGCCAGCAGGTCAGTGACAGCAAGGGAAGAAGCCGGTCTGACTTCTCGTTGTTGATGTCTGGGAAGAATAAAACGAGTCATGGAGGGGGAATAAAAAAAGAAAGGTATCTGAACAGGGGCTGGGGAGGGACGTGGGGAAGGATGGCTCGAGGGAGAGCTGCAGGCAGACCCCTGCTGTTTTGGTGCTAGCCCCCACGGCCTTGCCCCGTCCCAGCAGCGCAGCCTGCGCTCCCTGCTGGCCCCAGCCGTGAACAAGTGATTCAAACCGTTAGACCTCCATCTAGGAGATGTCACCCAGATCATGGCAGTGCAACAATCTCATTGCACCAGCTGCTGTACGAACGTTGCAAAAACTTACCCGAAGCACTGAGCCGCTGTCATCACCCAGTTCGGGGCCACTAGGAAGCCTCCGCAGGACTGGTTGTTCTTTCCTTGCAGATAGGCCACGTAGGGTGTGGAGTGGGTCTTGGCTTCACGTCCTCCCTCCCTCCGAGTCCAGGAATAATCTGCAATGAACGGGACTGAGGATGAGGGGATCGGAGGGCACGGGGCGCGCTGTCTGGGGCTCTTCCTTCCCCAGCCCTCTCCCCGCCTCCGGGCCCCTCTACTTACTGGCTTTGACTGGGGGCCATGTCACCAGCAGGAGGGAGAGCAGGAGTTTCTGCAGGTGCTTCATCATAGCGTTCTCGGCTTCAGTGGGTCCCGTGGAGGTGAGGCTGCAGCTGGGGTCTCTTCCTGCTCCCAGCAAGGTTTTATAGCCTGAGACTAGACTCCAGGAAACCACAGAAGTCAGACTCATCTGATCAATCTATCTGCAAATTGCATGCCTCAGCGATCCGAGAGGGGAATTCAGTCAGCCTTAGCCTTGGGCATCAATCCACCTTCATCTTGGGCCTGATCTGGGGTATCTGATGTCCTTCTAAACCCAGAGCCAACGTTAACCCATTGTTTTCGAGCTGGAAGCTGTAGGGCGCTTATCCCCCCTCACTCATCACTTTGCCTGCCTGTGGCCTCTTCCCTTGCAGCTCCTCTTTGTTGTTGCGCACTTGCAAACTCTCTTGATTTTTATCACGAGCCTTGTAAGAACAAGCTCTTTCACGCGATGTACCAGTTCCAAAGGCCGTGCAGTGGCAGTTGAGGACCCTCCTGTTCTTTCTCAGTAGGTGTGGTCCTGGCTAATAGAGCCAAATTAGTGTCAGTGCCTTTATAACACCACACTGGTCGTGGCTGTGCGAGGGCAAGAAGTTGTCACGGCGGCTTCATGAGCGTGGCCCACGGCAGCGTGACCGCGGTCGTGCCGCCCCCCCCCGCCGTGAGGTCTCTGTTCCGCTGCCTTAGGGCTTTGCTTCGTACAGCAAGAGGCAGCATTTGAAGTGTTTCTTTCCAGATGTACTTGTTCACCGTTAAATTGGGGAGTTCGCTGGCTCTTACCAGCCAGTGTGAGAGAAGACAGGAGGACACGTCCTTGACCCTGACTTTCCCTCTGGTGTATTGAGGGGGGATGGAGTCGAGGGATGCAGGGTTGGGATTCTGCCCCTTCACTAGCTAGAGAGAACCCAAGGACACATCCCCCTGAAGATGCTGCTCTTCCTCGGTCGTGTCCAAGCGTCCCAGCCAGCGTTGCCCCTGGCAGGCAGTGATTTTTAAATGCCAAACGAGTGCCTTTCTGCGGTGCACGGTGGGGATCTGTTCTCCCTGGAGCAGGGCCCCCGGCAGCTGCACCTCTTCCTTCTCCAGCCCATGGTGACAGGGACCGTGCTGGGGGAAGGGCTGGTGGCAAATCACTGAACGCGCTCCCTCCACCCCCGGCCCCCGGGATGTCCCCTTGCCTCCCCACCGGCACCAGTGCACGGCTCCAGCGAGAGGTGGAAGATGGGCACGTCTATGCACTTGCTCCAGCAGCGGTTCCTTCCTTGGCTGTGACGAAATGGGGCTGATACGTCCTTGCTGCCGGTAAATTTGCTTTCCTATCTGCCCCCAGTGCCACGGGGCAAACCCCATTTTTAAGCTAAAAGCTGCCATTCTCGTGCAAAGACTGCAGCAGCTGGAGCTTCAAGGAAAAGCCTGACGTGACAAAGATTTGTACTACATAGATAAGCAGTTGCAGCATTTTCACTTGCCGATTTTCTAGCTGATAGCAGCTGTTAGCAGAAGCCCAAACCGTGGATCCTTCTCAGTTTCCCCAGGGTGGCATGGGTGCTGAAGGCAAAGGCGATATCGTTTCCCTTCGTTCCAGAGAAGAATAGGGAGAACGTAAGAGCAGACACCCAGGGCCGGACTGCAGGCCATCTCCTTCCTCTGACAGAGGTGGCTACTGGGAGCCTAGGAAAGGCTATGAGAACAGGGCAAGCACGCTGTTCCCTTGAACTGCACGCAGTTTCTGTACGTTTAAGGTTCCCTGCTGGGTTTCCCCGCAGCAAACCAGTCTGGTCTCTTCTTGAACTTGCACAGACATCCGTCATCCTGCACCAGGGAGTTCTGCAGCTCAGTTATTTACCAGTGCACTGTCTCTGCCCCTTGTCATCTCCTCCAGGAAAGAAGTGTCTAGCACTCCCCTATCTGCATACGAGAGACACCATCAGAAACTAGCTGGAACGAAGGAGACGAGGGCTCAGAGTTTAGGCAGGTTGCTTTACACCCAGTGCAGGAGGGGCTGGTGCAAGGTATTCAGGCTCTAGTGCAGGGGCTGTCTGAAAACGGTGCTAGAGCATCCTTTGCGGCGGGGAGAAGCTCACCTCTGAGCATCACCCAGCCGAGGGGAGAGTCGTAAAGCCCTTTTGGTTTTGTGCTGCTGCGAGAATAGATTCTGCTCGTGCTGTACTGCTAGGGCTGGGCTGGCCTTCCTGAGAGGGCCAGAACACACCAACAAGCCCCAAGGCAGACAGCTCCCAGCTAGGACTCGCCCTTGCCTTCTCCAGGGAGGGAGTCTAGCTCTCCCGGGATAGTTGGCATGGGAGGAAAGGAGCAAGTGGCGTGAGGTCAGGCATTTTTGTGAACCCAGGTCCTTTATCAACCCTTTCAGTACAATCCCTACAGAGACTGTATCTATGTCTCCACCCAGGACATCACGTTGCTGTTCAGGAGATGGAGGAGTGTGGCTGCTGGAGAATGGCAGAGGCAAAGACTGAAAGCACTGGTGTGCAACAGCTGGGATTTTGAGTACGGCTCCTCTCTGCGATCCTAAAGCCCCATCTCTGGGATCTCAGCCGCCACCTGCCCTACACCCAAGCGGGAGCAGAAACAGCACAGTCCACAAAAAGTCCAGCTCCCTTCACCTGCTAAAGCCTCTTACAGCTAAGACAGCTGAAAAGATTAGCCTGGTTTCCCCTGTGACCCAGCCTGCTGTCTTGGCTGCTGTCCTAGGGTGCGACATCCCCCAGGCATGAGGTCCCTGCAGAGGGGACAGTCATGACTTTGCAGGGGACGGCAGCTTTTGACCCCTGGTACCTGCTGACACACCGCACTCCGGCTGTCAGCTGCTCCGAGGCAGGCGCTGACGTTGCTGAAGTTGCTGAACGGAGTGCGTGCACATCACTTTTCCCAGCCCGTTTCTACCTGGGCAGTTTCTCTTCCTGCAACGCACTTATCTCCATCGCCCCAGGAGGGGCAACTGTAGCTCTCGTCCTCCAAGTCTGCCAGCAATTCAGTGGATGCAGAGCTAGAACTGCCTCTCTCCCAACAGGCTGACCTCTCACTTTGACCAGGTAGACCCTCCCTCCCTCCTCCCTGGGGACAAGGCACAAGAAAGGAGAAGACATACAAAATGCAGCTCTGAATTTACTGTGGCTGTTTAAGCGCAGGAAGGTTCAAGCAGGGACGGGGTTACCTCTGAAGGAAAGAGGGTCTGTTGCAGCACAGCCTTTTTCTGGTGCCATCTGGGAAGATCCCTGCTTCTGCCAGAGGGATTTGACATGGCCCTGAACTGGCTGCTGAGATGGGCAGGGAATGGGACAGCCAGCAGCCTCGGAAGAGAAAGAAGGGGACCCTTGTGTGCACCCATCAGGTCACTTGGGTTCCTAAGGAGAGAGGAGGGAGTCAAGCCTTCAGCAGGGGCAGGAAGGAAACCAGTGCAGTCTCCAGGGCTGCACCAACGCTGGAGCAAGTGCCGCTGCGGCTACTTCTTCAGGGTTTTTTTGATCCAGGGCAGGTAGTTGGAGATGTGGGTGTAGACCCCTGGCAGGGTGTCGTACCCGAAGGAAACAATGCTTTGTGCCACCTTATTGCATACCAGGGGTCCTCCAGAATCTCCCTGAGGACAGATGAGAGACGGGTTTTAGAGGCCTCTTCCCTGTGGGAACAGGTTTGACCTTGGTCCCTCCCTGCCCCGGCACTGGGCTGTGTCTCTGCTCCAGATCTGCGGCTCTGCTCCTGCCCCACATGCCCACCGTGCTGGAGGAGCTGTCTGGAGCAGGTGAGTTGGGGCTTTACCCCTGGGACTGCCCGTGGACCGTGGTGTCAGGGCCTCCAGAGAGCTAGTCCACATGGGAGCTACAAATCAAACGCTTGTCACCTCTCCTGGGAACCAGCTAAGTCTGTGCCAGCAGAAGCCCCTGAGAACCCGCCTGCCCCGTGGCCAAGCCCCCAGCCTGTCAGCAGCCCGTACCTGGCTGGAATCCCGGAGCTCGTGGAAGCTGCCGGCACAGACCATGCCGGTGTTGAGATGCGGGTAGAAGCGGATGCATTTCCCGCGACTGTAGATGGAGACTTTGGTATCAAAGAGCTTGTTGGTTGCCTGGTCATCATCGATCGATCACCCGGCTATGCTGCACTTGGTGCCCGTGGGGAGGTCGCTGCCGGTCTTGGGCAGTGGAATGGTCTTGACGTAGTCATTGAGATTGGCTTTTGCTGTCGGCTGGGAGAAAGCACGGTTTTTGGAGAAGGCTGTGAGCAGAACAGCTGAAGGACACTTCGTGCGCGGAGATCTAGCAGGACATACAGCCCTGCAAGCTCTGGTGAGCGGCTGCAAATAGGGCATGCGGCTCCAAGCCCTGCCCACGGTTCCCTCCCAGGTCCCTCCCATCCCTGCCTGCACTCATGGGCAGAAGCAGGTGATGGTTTGCAGAAGAAGCTAAGAGCAAGAATGCGCTCTGCCCCAGCCCCAGCCTACCCTCCGACCCACCGCCTGCTGCAGGACTGCCTTGCCTTCAGCAGCATCATTAGACACAGTGTCTGGGTCGTATTCAGGGTGCTGCTGGGTCATTTCTGGTTCTTGGATGTTGTGAGCCCCCAGGATGACCGTGGCATTCCCGGCCGTGGCAGCGGAGGGGAGAAGGGGGGAAAACAGGTTGGGTCTCACCTGCATCCCTCCCCTTTTGCAGGCAGGTGGGGAGAGCTGCTCAGCACAGGAGGAAGAGGAACCTCCTCCAAAATTACTCCAGTGATGGACCTCACAGGTTAGGGGAGGAAGAAGGGGATAAAGCCCCTGTATGAAGTACTCACCCCAGGCAGTGTGCGGCTGTCATCACTCAGTCAGCGGCCACCAGGAAGGCTTCGCAGGCTAACATCCCTGCCTTCGGGTATGCCATGTAAGGGTGGGAGTGGGGCTGAGCCTCGTGGCCCCCCCAAAACCTGACCCTGTAGAGCAAGACGCCCCACCGCAGGATGAGCCGGTGGCTGCTGAGGTCAGAGCCCAGACCAGCAGCCTCACTCGCAGCAGCCTGCGGCACCAGCTTAGTGGCACTGGCCCACGGGCAGGGAAGCAGGAGCAGCAGGGCCAGCAGTGGCTGGGGCTGGAGCTGGCACATCTCTCCCCACAGCTGGACACTCCTTCCAAAATATGTGGAAGTCTGAGTCTCCTAGTGCCCAAGGGCTGGTTTCATACCCTGGGGCCAGCTGTACCCAGCAGCCAGGAAACCATGTGTGATGGCCTGATTGCGCTAATCAGAGCCGTGCAGCATCCCTGCAGGTCTATCTGCATCTCCGCTGCCCTCGCCTGCTCACATGCCCCACACGCCCTGCGGCTGTGATTGATGAGTGATAGAGCCAGGGCAGAGAGACGTGGTATGTCACAGCCCCAAAGCCTCAGGGGTGCTGAGGAGAGGTGTCTTAGGGTATTTTTGAGGTGTGATTTAGCATTTCTCCTGCAGTTTGGCTGCAGGACAAATCACGTCCACCTGCTTCGAAGCATGGCGTCTTCGAGCTCTGGCAATCAGGCTGTCTCATACTGCACCTTCAGTAGTTCACGGCACTTGCTCCTGGGGGTGGTCTGGTCACTTCATGCTTTGTTGGCGAGTGCGATGACTTGCAGATGCTCTTTCCCCCTCTGTGGTTTCCCCTCTGCAGCTGGTCTGGACACAGGACAAATCACGTCCACCTGCTTCGAAGCATGGCGTCTTCGAGCTCTGGCAATCAGGCTGTCTCATACTGCACCTTCAGTAGTTCACGGCACTTGCTCCTGGGGGTGGTCTGGTCACTTCATGCTTTGTTGGCGAGTGCGATGACTTGCAGATGCTCTTTCCCCCTCTGTGGTTTCCCCTCTGCAGCTGGTCTGGACAAGGGCACATCCATGACTTGCAGATGCTCTTTTCGCCTCTATGGTTTCCCCTCTGCAGCTGGTCTGGACAAGGGCACATCTGTTCAAATGGGAGCAGGGGAAGCCTTCATCTACCCTGCTCTGGATTCTCTCCCTTCCCTGACCTGCAAATCAGGCTGCAATTGCTGTCTTCACCTTGCCCCTAGCAAAGTGTGATTTGGTTAAATGTTAAACTGAGCACCCATCCTGCTGCACTTGTCCCTTCCTGGCCTTGTGGTCCTCAACAGAAACCACCATCGGGCTGCCCCAGGTGACCCGGTTTCAAAGAGGTGACCAAATCTTTGTGTCAAGAGCATGGACCTGGGACTCAGGACACCTGCGTTCTTCCTGTTCCTGGCTCTCCCACTGCCTTAGCTGGTGGCTGTCTGCACTTTCCTTCTGATCTTCGAGCCTCCGATTGCCTAAGTGTGTCCTGTGATGGCAGCTGAGATTGTCTTTTGTGTGAAGAGCTGCTTGACGCTCAGGCTGCAACCTCAGAGGGAGCTGTGCCATACAGTCCTGTGTTGTTTAAAGTTGTCCTTCCTGTCGGCACTTCCAAGCCCTTGTCTACCTTAATTTTCCCCACTGCCAGGTTGTCGCAGTTTGCCGCGTCGTTTCTTGCTCCCTGGGGCTTGTGGGCAGTTGCGTGCCCACAGCAAAGCGTAAATCTCTTAGGGTTAATGCTGTGTGAAGTGTCGGCTCTGCGCAGGAGGGATTGCACGTTGCATACTGGAAGGACATCTTTTCCATGCTCAGAGACTTTCAACAACTCTTGACTCTGCTCCAGCACAAGAGCATCTGAGGGGCTGGGACAGCCGTGGCAGAGAGGGGTCACAGAGGAGGGGGCAGGGTGCCACCCTGGGGCCGCGCAGCCTCTCTGCTGCCACAAGGACAAAAGCTGTCATGAGAGCACAGCCAGGTTCTGCACACCTCCTGCACCCAGCCTCATCCCTCCTATTTTGAGTGTTGGTCGGGATTAAACCTTCCCTCAAATGCTCTCCAGAAATTTTCTCTGAGCCCTGAAGTCCAGCCCTTTCCCTTGCTTTGCCCCGTCGGCACCAAAATCTGGCTTAGGGGCAAACCAGCAGGCAATCGCTCGGCCACGGCCGCTGCTCATCCCCAGAGGCTGTGCTTATGTGACAAGAGGGACAGAGCCCAAGAGCATGGAAGTGCCACTGGCTTGCGTGAGCACTTGCAAGGTAGGGCAGCCAGGCGTCTGGCCAGCATGCCAGTTGATAAAACTGGAACGGTGCTCTCCTTTCCTCTCATGCCCAATGAAGCTGTGGGCAGCTACTCCAAAACACCTTCCTCTACTGTGTAGATGAACAATCTGCTAGAGAAAGGATGGGGAGAGCTGGTGAGGGAGGGGGTAATGCCTCCTTTTAATCGCTGGAGTACTTGCAATCTGGTTCACCTAGACCTCCCAGAAGCTCTGGTTGAGGTCACTACAGATTCTCTGCAGGCATCTGGTTTAAATAAGCTAATTTGGGCTTGTAACTGCAGCCAGGAACTGATGAAAAACCACAACAGACAAAGGCAATAGAACAATTAGCACTCTGAGGCTTCAGTGCCCCCCCGCCCAGTCCTTGGTCCTGCTATTGGGAGATTTTTCTACCCAAAGACCCTGTCTGTGTGCCCATTGCCTGGGACACTTTCTGCCAAGGGGGACTCAGGGGACTCAGCAAAGGTTCCTCAGGGGCCTGCATGTCACTTGAAGAAAATGAGGCTTGCTTTAATCCTAAATCACCATCTCTGGAGCAGTCTCTGGCTACCAGTCCTAATGCAGGTCTGTGACAAGTGGTTTAAACTCAGCTCTGCCTGCCCAAGACACGATACCAGCTTTGCTTCAGGTTAAAAAGCACATACAGCTCCAAGGCTCCCAGCAAGGGAGAGTGGATCGGGAGGAAGATCTGCCCTAAAAACCCCTCTGGCACGCAGTAAGGGTGCTGCTTTGCGGCAGACATGCCCTGCGCGGGCAGCGCTGCCGGGCCTGGCACAAGCACAGCGCTTAGGTGCTGTCATTGCCTCTGCTCACAGCGTGGCCGGCGAGCTGGTGCTGGGCTGATTTTGCCATCTCGGATAAGATGCCCTCTGGCACCCTGCTCGCGGGCCAGAGAGGGACAACACTGGTCTCTGCCAGCCCTTCCTCCCCTGCCTGCTTGGGCCAGTCCTCCTTGTTCCCAGGCAGGGCTCAAAGCTGGGGACTCTGGGCAAGCTGACAGCAGGGTACCCAGGCTGGGGGCAAGCTGACAGGGCAAGTGGCCCAGAAGAGCACCAGGGAGGCAGTGGGGCTGATCTGCCGGTTAGTCTGCATTGCTGGGAGGAGGGCATTTGAGGGAGAGCTGCGGTATGAGAATGGAAAACCCCTGAAACAGTTCCTGGAAATAAAATCAGAGTATGTGTGTAGGTATAAACAAACCAACAGATAAATCTACCCCTCTCTTACTGCCCAGAGCAGTCTCCAGCACATCAGAAGAGACACTGGGCTCGTGGTAGGGCTGTACTAACTCGGGCGGGGAGATCTGGGAGCATGGGCTATCCTGCATGCCAGTCCTTGGGCATCACAGCTTTTGTTTGATGAAAAGCTTACTCCCAAATACAGGCCCCCCACTGCACTCTGAGCCCTAGTTTCTCTCTGTGAGCAGCAGCTCCCTCCATGAGTCTGTATCCTGCAGTAACCTTGTGCAAAGGTCTTGCTTTCTCCTTGATCCTAAGCTGAAAGCTCCAAGCTCAGATGCCCGGGGCCATTCGAGTTTACTCACTGCCCTGTAACAGCCAGTGGGTCAGCAGTACCGGCGCCAGGCTAAGCTGCAGACAGTAGAAACCAGACAGCAGTTCTCAGCCCCAAACTGCTTAGTATTCTTCTGTATAACAAGCAGGGAGGAGAAACAGCAGGTGGAAGAAGTGATGCACAGGGCGGTAAGCAGCAGAGCTTGGAATAAATTTATGCTCTCCAGACACAGCGCAGCAGCACCAGCCCCGCTGCCAGTAACCACATTGCCCTGCCCCAGCCAGGCAGCGCTAACCGCAGGGAGGTGTGTTGCTTGTCCTTCCTCTACAGTGCCCAGGTTAGGTTTCAAACCAGCCCGATTTCCTCTGCGTGGTGCTTGGAACCACACCCCTGCCAGCTCCCCCTTGCGCGGGCATCACCCTGCTGTTTACGCCCAGCCACCCGTTTCCTGGGCGAGGACTGGTTCCTCCCTGCCATCCCCGCATGAACATGGGAAGAAACAGCTCTCAGCTGTGAGCCTGTGGCGACAAGTCCGGCATCGATGAGCTCCCATGAGGGATTTTATGGGTCCTGCACAGGGGACCCTAGGCCAGAGGCTCCAGCCAGGTCTCTGGAGCAGCCTCGTGGCCTTGGTCACGCCATGCTGACCACGGCTGGCCATCCCACACTGAGTGGGGGTGGCGGGAGCACCGTGCAGCTCCCTCCCTCCTGGGGACGTGTCTGCTTGCTGGAGACATGGTTACAGGGCAGAAGATGCTAGGGGAAAGCTGAGCTTGTCCCAGGCACGGTAGGAGAGATGGTGCTGGGCATGGTGTTTGGAGACCAGGCACTGAGCTGGTCCAGCTTCTCCAGCCCCTCTGAGCTACCCAGGCCAAAATCCAGCCCCAGGGAGGGGAGGGATTGCTTCTCTGGCAGTTGCCAGTGGCTGTCAGAAGCTGCATGAAATGCCACACTAAAGAAGAAGTGAGACTCGGGAGTTTGCATTTGTAGCATGCTCGCTCTGGAGGGATGCTGAGGGATGAGCCCTTCCAAAGCTCCCGTCCTACAGGCACTGAGCACTGGAAACGCTCAGTGCCTTTCACTGCAGATCAGCCAAAAGGTCAAAATCTCAAACCTGTTGTAAAGGAGGGAAAGGTGTGACACCATGGGAGGCAGGGTCTGGGCTGGCCCACTGATGGTGTGTTTTACCAGGATGACTTCCAAGTAATTATCTTTTTTTGGGGGGGTGGGGAGGGGCATTTTATGCAGCTCTTTGCTTTCTGTTTAATGTTTTTGCATTGAGGAAATGGAAGTTTCTCAAGAAAAGCCACTTTAAAAAAATCAACAAAACTTTGCCATTTAATGTCATTAATGTGGTCTAAAGGAGATGATCCTGAAATTTTCTCTTTCATGTTCTTGTTTTCCTTCAAATCCAGAGATGCACTGCAGAGACTTTTCCTACAGAGACCCACCATCACCACCACCCAATTTCAATGAACTGATGCCCAGGCACAACAACTCTG